AACCCCTTCCCTTATTTTCTGTCCAATCAGAGACTCCTCCCTTATAAAGCGAGGGCAACGCCTCTTTTGGCTTCGGAGTTAATTAAGGGCCTAGTCGTCTCGTGGTCTTCATGACAAGCAGACCCGATGAAGAGAAAATGATAAATAACTATTTTTGCATACTTATATAGCAATTATAATAAATTTACCTCGTACGTTCTTACAAAATACCTCGTAGCCTTATTAATTGAATATTAAAAAGAAATAGTTAAAAACTTATTTAATAAATATCTGGATAAAATTAGAAAATATAAATGATAATAAATATCTAATGAAATAATTATAAAGTAGTTCTAATACTGTCTGGGATCAGACTAAAAGCCTCCCTGTGATCGTGGATGGAGGCTTGCTGGCAAGTGGTAGAGATAATGCAATAATTCAACACTGCCTTTTGAATGTAGTGTCTTTCCTTTTATTGAATTTAATGAATAGTCAGTGGTTTATGTATGTCGAATTGAATGTATGATTCAATGAGTTGATGAGAGTTTCTTCAATGAATATGAGCGACAAGAATTCTGTGAGTGTATTCTTGGTAGCTTGGTGCTTGATTCTCCTACTCGTAGTTATGAACTCGTGGTGATATTGGGAGATTCGCGCTGATAAGTGGTAGAGATGGTGCCGCCTTTGCCGCTGGCATATGATAAACGTTGTACTGGTCTGAGTGGGGGACGCCTGTGAGACGTCACTGATAAGGGGCAGCGATGATGCCGCCGTTATTCATTCATATGCATTCATCTTGCATACATTACAAGCAAACATACATATAAACATTTAATTAATTGAGTATGCGTTCTACATACATATAAGTGTAAAGAAGAGAGTAAATATTATTAATACTATAGTACTTTAATTGTATATATGAAATTAAATATAAAATTAAACAAAAAAATTATATTGCTTTCATTGAATAAAGTTATATGCATTTATTTATTAATTATGAATTAATTAACTCGTTTTTTGTTATAAAATATAAAAACTTGTCTTTTAGTGGTATTTTAAAATATTTTGGTTCAGATTATAGCTTCTCACATGGGACTTGATACGCGAATATCTTCATCACTTTGGAAAGATAAAGCTATGATAGAAACCAATTTAGCTGTACTGCACAGTTTTCAGGTATAAAATGATTTCTAGAATTTATTAAATTTTAATTCTACGCATTTATTTTAAATATTTCACCTTTTGGATTTATGGTCTAAATAATGTCATAATTTTAAAGTATTTTTACTATTCTGTTACACTCTCTTGAGTAAATTTTATAATGTTATTATTATTATTTGTTCGGAGTTGGAGAATTTTCCAAGGCCTTAAGCTCTCGGACATGTATTAGGCATCTAACTCTCGAATTTTTATAAATATTTAATTTTTAGAATTCTCGAACATTCTAAAATTTTACTCTCGAACATTTTGCAATATTTTTTTTTGATATAGCAACACCTATGCATTATTATCACCTAAGTAAGCTGCCACGTGGATATTTAAAACAAGCACACCACAAGACCGTGGCAGTATATTTGCAGTCATTGATGCAGTCAGTATTACTATTCATCCATGAGGGCTAGTCAGCCAGCAAGCTACTCACCACAACAGAAGGAAGACGCGTCAATTCCTGTGCTGCAAGATAAGGGTTTAACACCATCTCCTTCATATTAAGAAAATGCCGACCACAACAGCAATTATAGGATTAGATCAAGGCTACTGTATCTCCGTGAGTAAAACAAGTCTAAGGCATCAAATTATTGCTAGTCCTTACAAGACTAGCATGACGTTATTATTAACATAGTAAATTCATACTCTAAAGAGTATACATAATTATTGCTAGTTCTTTCAAGACTAGCATGATGCTATTATTAATAGCATATAACACACTCACTAATAAGGAGTGTGCATAATCAGTTGTTGATCTTTACAAGATCAACAACTTATCATCATCAAGGAACATTTCTTATAGATAAATATTCACCACAGGAGCGGTTCCAAGCAACTGCATTTTCATGATTGAACATAGGATACACCTTTCCATCGCATAAATCCAATACATCAATTATGTAATTGTAAACCATAATAATCTATATTAAACGAAGAAGCGCACACTGTATTTCTATGGCCTTCCTACTTCACTACTTACCAAGCATTCGCTATGGCTGGCAGAAAATTATTATAAAGCTATCAAAACATTAGCAGTTCGAGCTAGGAAATCAGACAGTTTCGAACATTGTTTTTATATTCCATAATTTTTAATCTAATTTTATTGAAAATGCATTAACTTGTAAAATGTACTTAAGATTTGTGATTATGTTAATAAAAGTACAACAATTTATACAAATATTTATATTTGTATTTTTATATGTATATTTGTCTGGGATCAGACTAAAAAACCTCCTTTTGATGGTGGGTAGAGGTGTTGCTGGCAAGTGGAAGGGGCAATGCAATCATTCAATACTACTTGTAGTGTTTAATTATCTCTCCTTTTATTAAATATAATAAATATAATAAATAGTTAATGATTATGAAGTGTATGAATGAAGGTGTGAGTGAATAAATAGAGGAAGTTTCTTCAATTGGTTGCGTGATGGTGAGAATGTGTGTACTCTCGATAGAGTGAGGCGTGAACCCTTCCATTTACAAACGAGACGCTGTAGTAGTAGACGCGCACTGGAGGGGAGAGTGAGACGGCGGCCTTAGCCGCCGGTGTAGCGTGAGCACCGCTGCTGTCTGTGGGTAGTGAGGACGTCCGTGTTACGTCTCTGCTTACGTGGATGTGAGGTCTGCCCGTATAAACGTGGTGTACGTAACAGTAATGTGCGTTACTTACGTGGGCGTTGGGTAGCCGGTATAGTTGTGGAGTTACTATTGGTTCCCTGAATTGCTTGATGCCTTATGTACGTGAAAAGTTCTAAGACCGTTGGCTCTTGGCTTTACTAGTCTCTTTAGCTCTCAAGTTTCTGTAAATACTTTTGTGACGAGAATTTTCTTGTACTTGTTATGTTTTGGTCTGCAATGTTTATGTAGTCCTCGAGTAATAACATCGCCTGGAATTTTCCAAATATCTTAATCTTTGTTCTTAATCTTAGGCCACACATCCTACATAGGCGTGCGTGCATATGTACTCTTCAAGGCCACACATCCTACACAGTGGTGTGACCATATTTCTGCTAATCCTTATAACATTAGCAGAGACAACGGTATCAGAGCTTACACTCTTATGTGAGAAAAAAGAAGCAGCTTAATATTAATGTAACCGTTAATAAACCATATGTTAACGAAGTTTGCATATACTACATATTTCTACATCCTTTCTACTTAACTCCTGTCCAAGCATCTGCTATGGCGGGCGGCAAATTATTAAAGCTATTGAATCATTGTGTTCGATTTTAAACAATCCTAGTAGTGTTCTCACTGCTAGGAAGGGTGCAGCTCGTGTTCCATAAGTAACAGTTGTCAATTGATAAGAGACTTCTTCATTGTTTTCATTAACCCATAGAATTCTCTGTAGGTCCCAGTCATCTTCATGTACTTTAATTTGTCTGTACATTTTCGTGATGTCGGTGGCAAACAGGTAGCGTTGTCTTCTGATCCAAATTAAGATGTCTGAAATGTCTGGATTTAGGTTAGGTCCAGTGTGCATAATGTCATTTAGAGAAAGT